GGGTCGGATGTGCATTCGGGTGGGGAGGCGATGGGGACTGTGTACGGACCGGTCCGCGGGGGCGTGGAGGCGGTAGCAATAGTATAAGGTGGGAGAGCCGCAATGGCTGCTCGCGGGGAGGGGGCCTGGGCCCGGGCAGGTTATTAAATTAGGAGCCCGTTTGGGAGGGGACGAGAGGTCCTAGAGAAGGAGGAGGGGGCGGACTGAACACAAAGGGAGGCTGGTCCTGGGTGGGAGCGGACCTCTGACACCCTCGGGTAGCGGAGAACCGCCACCTTTGGGTCAGGCGGCTGGGGCTTTCACCTGCTGTCCCTCTCCTCCAGGGAGCAGGAGGGCAGGTCAGGAGATGGGCCGTCAGCAGTGGCCTAGGAAGCCCCGAGTCCTGTGCTTTTTCCCAAGCCTCTGCTGAACATCTCAATGCTCAGTGTCCGGAAAGGGACAGGCTCAGCCCTGCCCTTTGGAGCGCAGTTTGATGGGATAAGGGTATCAGGCAAATCATTGTCATCAGTGGCTGTGACAGGCACTAGCAGAAGAAGCCCGAGTGGATGGTCTACGGGTTGGGGGTTGGAGGCTTTATTACGGCTTGGCTTACCCCAGTGGATTAGCCAGGCGCCATTGAAAACTGGCAAGAGAGGTCCAGGCCACCCACAGGGAACAGCCTGGTCAAAACAGGAAAGGTTAGCAGTGGCCCCTTTGGGCAGGATCTTGGAAACATGTGAGGAGAGGAGTGGATTTTAAGGCAGTTATGTTCTAATTGGCCCTTTCGGCACAGGGTTTGAGAGAGTGGGTGGGGGGCTGGTGAAGAGGCTGGAGCATCTCTCCGGAGGGGGCGGTGCAGTGACCTGGACCAGCATGGAGGCAGCCGAGCAGGATGGAATAGGACTGCTTGGGGACTGAGATGCAGGCCAGGCTGGGGAAGGAGGAAGGGTTGGGGCTGGACCTCAGGGATGGTGTTGAGTGTGTTGCCATGGGCTGGTACTCAGGCCTGGCCTCCCATGGCCAGCAGGGGGCCCCCAAGGCCTGGCCTGATCTGCACTGGGGAGTCTCTGGGAAGACTGGACTGTTTGGACAGCATATGCTGTTGTGGGACCCTCTGCGGATCAGCAACCCAGCTCGGGGTCTCAAATAATCTGTAACAGGGGGATACCAACACCCACCTCACAACAGTGAAAAGAACTCATCACCACCAGTACCCCATCCCTACTGCTGTCCAGGGGCTGTCACAAGGACCTATTGGGTTGACCTCTGGGAGTGCACCCAGCACAGGGCTTGGCACTGGGGACCAAGGGGTGGGTGATTCACTCACTCTCTTTCTCTGTCCACCCTCCAGCTATGCTGTCGAGCGCAAGATCGAGCCTTTCTACAAGGGCGGGAAGGTGCAGGTACCAGCTGGGGGGCGGGGGGGCAGAGTGGTGGGGAAGGCAGGGATTGCAGGGTGTTATCTTGGCTGAGACCCCCTCTGTCCCCAGCTGGACCAAACTGGGCAGTACCTCTTCTGTGTCTGTGGTACCAAAGTGAACATCCTGGAAGTGGCCTCAGGGGCCATCCTGCAGAGCCTGGAGCAGGTGAGGGCAGGGAGAGCCAGGGTTAGGGACTGGCGTGGAAAAGAAGCCTATTCTCATAGCATTCTGTGCGCCCACTCTTGCCCTAGGAGGACCAGGAGGACATTACTGCCTTTGATCTCAGCCCTGATGATGAGGTATGTGGGGCAGGGACAGGAGGTGGGTTCTAGTACTTGAGTCCATGAGGATGGGTGGCCTTGCCTCTACCCTCCACCTCCCACCCCCCAGGTAAACTACATCCTCCCCTAGGTGCTAGTGACAGCCAGTCGGGCACTGCTGCTGGCTCATTGGGCCTGGCGAGAGGGCAGTGTCATCCGCCTGTGGAAAGCGATACACACAGCCCCTGTGGCCACCATGGCCTTCGATCCCACCTCCACACTGCTGGCCACAGGTAGGGCCCCAGCAGGTGGATGGGCCGGCTGGCGGGCACGGGGCTTGGGGCACACCAGCCCCCTCACCTCAAACACATTTCCACAGGCGGCTGTGATGGGGCTGTGCGTATCTGGGACATTGTGCGGCACTATGGGACACACCACTTCCGTGGCTCGCCAGGTGTCGTGCAGTGAGTAGGGACAGCAGAGCCTGGGTGAGTGGGGCGTCACACTGGGATGGCACCACTCACCTGCCGCACCTACCTACCTGCAGTTTGGTGGCCTTCCACCCGGACCCCGCATGCCTGCTGCTCTTCTCCTCAGCCACAGACGCCGCCATCCGCGTATGGTCGCTACAGGACCAGTCGTGCCTGGCTGTACTGACTGCCCACTACAGCGCTGTCACCTCGCTCACCTTTAGTGCTGATGGCCACACCATGGTCAGGTCAGTAACCAGCTACCCAGGTCTTAGCAGGCGGGGAGGGCCATGGCTGAGATCTGGGAACTGAGGTGGCTGTTTCCCCAGCTCGGGCCGGGACAAGATCTGCATTGTCTGGGACCTGCGGAGCCACCAGGCCCTGAGGACCATCCCTGTGTTTGAGGTGGGGCACCCGGGGGGTCAGGGCCAGTGAGTGGGTTAGGGCTGGGAGTGGGGTTGCCACCTCTGACCTGCTCCTCCGCAGAGTGTGGAGGCCGCCGTGCTGTTGCCAGAGGAGCTGGCACCCCAGCTGGGTGTGAAGTCCACGGGCCTGCACTTCCTGACAGCTGGCAACCAAGGTGTGTGGGGCCAGGCCAGGGCGGGCAGCAGGGACTGGGGGTGGCCGCGGACCTGTGAGTCCCAGCAGCCTCTATCCCCGCATAGGTGTGCTGCGCGTGTGGGAGGCGGCCTCGGGGCAATGTGTCCACACACAGCAGCCGTTGTCAGGCCCTGGGCGGGAGCTGACCCACTGCGCCCTGGTCCGAGCTGCTGGCCTGCTCCTTAGTGTCACTGCTGACCACAACCTCCTGCTCTATGAAGCACATTCTCTGAAGCTGCAGAAACAAGTGAGCACTGCCCCCTGGTCAACCCTCGGTCTGGGGATGTAGACCCTCTTCTCACCTGAGCCCTGGCTTGTGTCCCTCCACCCTGCAGTTTGCCGGCTACAGCGAGGAGGTGTTGGATGTCCGGTTCCTTGGGCCTGAGGACTCCCACATTGTCGTGGCCTCCAATAGCCCCTGCCTGAAAGTATTTGAGCTACAGACATCCGCCTGCCAGATTCTCCATGGCCACACAGGTGAGGGTGCCAGGCCGACGCTCCTGGGACCCTTTCCCTTCATTGATCTCTGACCGTTCTCCTTCCATTTTTCTTTCAGATATTGTCCTTGCCCTGGATGTGTTTCGGAAGGGGTGGCTCTTTGCCAGCTGTGCCAAGGTGAGGTACCCTAAGAGGTGTGGAGATACAGGTCTCCAGTGGGAAAGTCTGGCCCAGCCTCTGTCCTCACCCCTCCCGTCCCCAGGACCAGAGCATTCGCATCTGGAGGATGAACAAGGCTGGCGAAGTGACCTGTGTGGCTCAAGGCTCTGGGCACACACACAGCGTGGGCACCATCTGCTGCTCTAGGTAGTGGGCCAGGGCTGGGGTGCAGAGTGTCACAGACGTGGAGACCTAGGCCCTGCTGATGGAGTCCCAGCTCAGGGAGACGGAGAGGAGAAAGTGGTGCCTTTGACCTTGCTCTTTGAAGCTTCAACCTAGGGATCTAGAGTAATGAACAAAGCACCTCAGGTGCCATTGTTGGATGAGAGGTTCCTAGGAAGTGGCCTTGGAGCTGGGTGGATGAAAGGGGTAGGATGTTGGGGCAGAGAGAATAACACTGAACAAGTCCAGGTTGAGAAGGCGCTCCCTGCATTTAGGGCTGGGGTCCCATTATTGGGACAAAGTCACCTGCGGTGGCAGTACCAAGGGTAGGCAGTGTGGGCTTGAAGTGCAGGCAAGTGGTCCCAGAGATGTGTTTGGGTAACGCAAGCCATCTGCCTTTTGCAGGCAGGCCTGGCAAAGGCTCATCAGGCGTCTTTCCCTGCCCCCAAATTGGGCTTTAGGCTGAAGGAGACCTTCTTGGTGACGGGCAGCCAGGACTGCACTGTGAAGCTGTGGCCCATCCCCAAAGTCCTGCTGTCCAAGAGCATAGCCCCAGACAGTGGCCCTGTTCTCCTACAGGCCCAGGCGACACAACGCTGCCACGACAAGGTGAGCATACGGGTGGCAGTGTGGCAGGGCCCTCACTGGGATAGGGGTATCTGAGCTGCTACCTGTTGCCATCACTAGGACATCAACAGTGTAGCTGTTGCTCCCAATGACAAGCTGCTGGCCACAGGCTCACAGGACCGCACAGCCAAGCTCTGGGCCCTGCCACAGTGCCAACTGCTGGGTGTCTTCTCAGGCCACCGGCGTGGCCTCTGGTGTGTCCAGTTCTCACCTATGGACCAGGTGCTGGCCACTGCCTCAGCTGATGGCACTGTCAAGCTCTGGGCATTGCAGGACTTCAGCTGCCTTAAGGTAAGCTGCCCCCACCCCAGGCCCGGCCCCCGACCCCAGTCCTGGTCCCTACCTGATCCTGTCTCATACCCTCCCTGTCCCAACCCTGCAGACTTTCGAGGGGCATGATGCTTCTGTGTTGAAGGTGGCCTTTGTGAGCCGTGGTACACAGCTGCTGTCCAGGTGACTGGGCTGGGGACAGGGCAGGGGTTGTGGTGAGCTGGGAGACAGGTCCCAGTGCTGAGCCCCCTCCCAATCCCAAACCCAGCGGCTCTGATGGGCTCGTGAAGCTCTGGACCATCAAGAACAATGAGTGTGTGAGGACGCTGGACGCCCACCAGGACAAGGTCTGGGGGCTTCACTGCAGCCAGCTGGACGACCGTGCTCTTACTGGCGCCAGTGACTCCTGTGTCATCCTCTGGAAGGTGTGTGGGCATTGGTGCAGTGGGCGAAGAGTGGGCAGGGCAGCCTGAGGTTCCACTCTGACCCCAGTCTGACCCCAGGATGTTACCGAGATGGAGCAGGCAGAGGAGCTGGCCAAGCGGGAGGAGCAGGTGGTCAAGTAAGTCTGAGGGTCCCACCCAGCCTCCTTGTGAGTGCCACCCATATGGCTGCGCCTCCCAGGCGTCAGCATCACCCTCCCCTCGGGGTAGGGTATGTTAGCATCACCCCTGCTTTGTGACATGGGGAAACTGAGGCTTGGAGCACTGACACAGGTCACCACCAGTGAGTGCTCAGGCCTGGTCTGCTGACTCCTAGGCCAGCCCCCTGATGGCTCTGCCTTCAGCCCCAGCCCTAGCCCTGTGGCCCTGTCCTCCCTCCTTCCCCCGCCAGGCAGCAAGAATTGGACAACCTGCTCCAGGAGAAGCGGTACCTGCGGGCGCTGGGCCTGGCCATCTCCCTGGACCGGCCCCATACGGTGCTGACGGTTATCCAGGGTCAGTGCTGCCTCGGGGGTAGAGGGGGAAGGAGGGTCCTCAGGTCTGTCCTGCTCCTTCCCTGGGGCTTATCTTCCTCCTCCCGCAGCCATCCGGAGGGACCCTGAGGCCTTCGAGAAACTGGAAGCCACTGTGCTCCGACTTCGGCGAGACCAGAAAGGTTCGGGGCAAGAGGGTAGGGGCTGGACAGTGACTGATAGGAGTGGGGTGGCCAGCAGGCAGGTCTGACCGTCCTGTCACCGCAGAGGCCTTGCTGCGCTTCTGTGTCACGTGGAACACCAACTCGCGGCATTGCCACGAAGCCCAGGCTGTGCTGAGCGTGCTCCTGCGGCACGAGGCCCCCGAAGAGCTGCTGACCTACGAAGGTGTGCGGGCCTCGCTTGAGGCCCTGCTGCCCTACACAGGTACATGGACACAGCCCTGGGTGGGGTAGGGAGTAGCCTGGCCGGGCTCCATGGACACCCCCCCCTGACATCCTCTGTCATCCCCAGAGCGGCACTTCCAGCGGCTCAGTCGGACCCTCCAGGCAGCCACCTTCCTAGACTTCTTGTGGCACAACATGAAGCTGCCCACCCTCCCTGCCGCCCCCTCTGCCCTCTGAAACACCAGAAGGTTTTTTGTTTGTTTTTTATTTTTGTTTTTTGTTGAAACACCAGAGTTTTTATCCCAGTTCCCTGTGTCGGTTTGGTTTTGTCTCACCCCAGGTCCCAGCTACAACCTTGGCCAAACACCACCCCGGTGCCTTGGCCTGTGCAATCCAACAGGCCCTGCCCCTCAGCGTGGACACTGAGTGTGGGTTAATCAGATCTTCACTCAGAGGAAATGGGAGAGTGTAGCTTCCTGGCCCTGCCAGCCAGAGAGTCCCACCCTCCCCCTGCCCTGGTGGCGGTGTGGCTGCCATCAGTCTTCCCCGGGGTCTGGAGCCTCTGGCCGGGCCCCTCCAGCTGTGGGGTACACAGCACTCTCCATGCGGTTCCACACACCCTCAAGGATGTCCCTGACTCCGTGGGTCCCTCCCCAGTGCCCTACGGGTGATGGTGCAGCAGCGGCTCTGAATGGCACTCAGCAGGGGGCGGGCTGGCACAGTAGGAGGAAGTGTCATGACCTGGGGGGACTCAGGGGAGCTTTGGGCCTCCCCCGCCCTGTTCTCTCCACCCTCTGCCCCAGAAGGGAACCCTGGTCCATTCAGAAGCGTGCCGAGCCCATCTGCCTGCAGTAACACAGAGGGGAGAAGGCCTGTGCGGCCACCGAACCTGCAAGGAGGGCAGAGTTTGGTCAGCACTTGGCCCTGCCCTCCCAACCCCGTTAGACTCTGTCCCCCCTCCCCCACCAAAGCCCCACCTGCACAGCCACCAGCCGCGGTCCGACATTTCCAGCACACGCACTCTTGCCCCCGCAGGCACTGACAGCTCGTCGGCCCGGCTGCCTTCGTAGGCTTGGGAAGCACAGAACTGGGAGCCTGGGAGTGGGCACTCGGTGGTTACCACAGGGCTTCCATCTCCTTCCCCTCATCGATCTCTCACTGAATCCCCCTTCCAGGCTCTCCCTCTCTGTGTCTCTGCTAATGCCAGGGACCATTCCAAAACCCCCTGGGGCTCAAGCCCACTATGGGGCCCGAGTACCTGCTAGGGGACTGCTGCCACCACCTAGTCTTTCCACAGCATCTCACCCTTGGGTCAGGTGCTTTCTGTCCCCCAGCCTTGCTGCTCACTGCCCAGCAGTGGTGGGGGGCATGGGGAGGGGATGAGTCTCATTACCACTACTCCTTAAGGGCTGTCTCCCGTCTTGTCCTTGGCCCAGGGCCACCTCCTCCAAGTAGGGAGCAGGAAACCATGCTGTCTGCTGGTCTTCATTAGCCACCAGCCACCAACCTGTACACAGAAGGTGGGCAGGAGTTCAGGTCCCCCGCATGCTGGGATCCTGGCTGCAGCAGGTCAAGCCCCCAGACTGTTGCCCAGCCCCACCTGAGGGGTGTCGCAGCAGCACATCTAGGGCCTCCTGGGCCTGCGCATGGAAGGGTTGGCCCCGTGTATCCTGGGTACTGAAGGGCTGCAGACAGTGCAGGCGCAGAGCCTCCAGGCTGCCTATGGCAAGACTGCCCACAGGGCGGGGTGGGGGCTCTTCCAGGACGGGCAGGATCACCAGGCTGGAAAGGGTGGTCGCAAGAGAGAGGGGTGTGGGGATGGGCTGCCACGCTTCACCCAGCCTTGTACTGCCTGGGCCCTTTCTCCACCACTCGGCCCCCACCGCCCAAATGCTTCCCTCAGGGAGTTAGGGGCGGGTCAGGCACCTGCCAAGTGGTAGTGAAGGCTCCAGGTCCTGGAGCTGTGGCTCGAAGAAGGCGGTGAGCAATGGCCCCCTGGATACTTGCTCTGCCTCCAGCAGCGCCCGAGAATAGGCCTCCAGCAACTGCAGGCGCGCCAGGCCACGGCCTTTGCGCCCCCCACGCGCCAACAGTGATGTAGAAGCATCTATGGGCACCACAGGGGACAGACCATGGGACCCCACCCCAGGGCTCCCATCACCAGGTTGCTGCTCCTGCCCCTCCCCTTACCCCTCCCAGAATCCCTGGTGCCTGACCTGGAAGTTTGGGGAGAACTCGGTCGGATCTCCGCAGCAGGCCTGCCTCCACCGGGAAGGTCTCCTTGAGGATCTTCTAAGGGAGAGAACCGGCATATCGGTCTTTGAGAGCCCACTGGGTTACCTTGGGAGGGTGGGGGGATCTCGCTGGGATCATAGGGGCTAGAAGCCAACATGGGTGAGGGCAGGCATAGTGGGGCTGTCGCTCGGAGGAAGTCCCAGGTTCACTCACATGGAGTCTCTTAAACTCGTCCCAGCTCCTCCGCACCAAGGTGTTGCTGTCATCCGACCAGCACACAGAGAAGGCGAACATCTGTTGGGAGGAAAGGCTGGGGGCACCTGGGAGGGTCTGGACCCTGAACTTCCTCCCTCCTTCCCTCCCTAGTTCCTCCTAAGGTCCACAGGGACCAGCACTTACTTGGAGCTTCTCTATCTGCACCAGAGCTGCTGCACGGACTGACACTGGGTGCCGAGGGCCCACCATAGCTGTGGTCTCACGGGCCCAGGTCCTAGGCTTCTGGAGTCAGCAGCGTGTGGTAGAATAGCCCGCGGGCTCCCTAGCCGCACAGGGACTGGAGGTGCTTCTGGGCACCCGGAAAGACTGGTTGGAATTCCCCTGATGCCTCAGACCTGCCAGGGGCATTCCCTCACTGCCCTCCCCCTGTCCTTAGCTTCCTCATTGGGCCTCCACTTGAAATCTGGATGGAGGAGCAGGAGCACAGGACTTGGCGAGTAGGAGGGGGAGCACAGAGGCGGTGGAGGGGCTGGGACTGCTGCCCTGGGAGGTGGAGAAGGCAGAGACCATCAAAGTGCCGCTAGGCCTGGCCCACCCTCCCTGCTCTCCCAGTCCCGCATAATGGTGGGGTTGGCGAGAGCCTCCTGCAAGGGGTGCCCCCTGCATCGCCTTTGAACTTGCCTGGACAGCTAACACAGTTGTCATCAGGAACGGCTTAATCCTCACCTGGGAGGGAAGATTTCTTAATGTCCCCAAGTCACAAAGGAGGAAGTTTGTATTAAGTGAATACTGTCAGTTTTTCTGTATGTGTTGGGGAGGGTCGGATCTCACAGGCTCACCCCAGAGGTTTCCCTCCCTGTGGTGGTCCATCCATCTCTACAGTCACTGGCACTTGGGGGGGGGGGGGGGTGACTAGGATTGTTTTGAGAGTTGCCTCTAAATTTATAATTTATTACAAGTTACTGCAAACACAGCCTCTGAGATCAGGAGTGACCATTCCCCCACTGGGATGGTGAGAAGATCCTGTAGTCTCCCGAGGATGTGCCCAGGTACCCCACAATTCTGGGCTGCTTTCTTTCTTTCAGGGGAGATTTCTGAATCTAACCTTGAGCTGCATCTAACCTTGGTGCACAGTGTTCCTCCTGCTGTTGAGGCCACCAGCTCTGTGTTGGGACCCCACCCCAAACCCCTCAGGGAGGAGTCGGTGTCTAGGGCATCCCTCCAGGAAACCACGTGGCCTGGACAAAGGGCTTTTGTGTGTCCCTCCAGCGGCTCTCTCTGAAGCTTTCAAACCTTCACTGGTCTTGGCCTGGACAGTGAACACCTGCTGCATGGGCCTGATTTTCAGAGTGCCTTTAGCCCAACTGTCTCACTCTCCCCGATCTCAGTGGGGGCTGTGCTGAGGGCGTCTGGCCTGGCAGCGTCAGGTAGGAACAGACCCTGCTCCCTGGAAGACAAAGGACAGAGGCGAGGGAAGGGCCAGTTTACTAACAGCCAGGGACCTAGAAGGCTGCTGAGGCCCCCTCAACTAACCCACTGAGAGCCCCCTGCTTCCACACTTCCCACAACCCTGGATCCTTCCCACTCTTCCCCTCTCCATAGCCCCTACCCTCATCTCTCACCTGGGCAACTACAAGCCCGCCACCCCACCCCCCACCTAATGCCCATGTTCCTTACTTGCTCCCATGAAATTGACTCTCCAGAGAAATCTTTGCAAAACAGAAATGGGATCAGGTAGAGGTAGCCCTACCCAAAACTGTCCAGTACCTTCCCACAGCTCTCAGAATAGATTCCCAGTTCCCAAGGCAGCTGACAAGGTCCTTGGCGGGCCCTTGCCCACCTCTGGATTTCTCCCCAGGTCCTGTCCCCCCGCCTTTCAGCCTATGCAAGGGGCTGAGACCTCCCACCTCCAGCCTTGTCCTTGACTGCCCCGTATCTTTCAGGCCTCTGCATAAGGGTCACCTTCTCAAGGAGGCCACCTGCATTTACCACGCCCTGTTATGGCCCCCTCCGCACCATAGTTTGTAAGTGAACATTTATTAGTGTAACTCTCCGCGCCCCGCCCCCGTCTTGACCACTGGGACTAGGAGGTCAGGGTTGGGTCTTGCTACCCGCCCTGCCCAGCGCCTGGAATAGTGCTTGGAAGAGACACTACACAAATATTTGCGGAATGACTGTACGTAGGGAAGAAGAGTTCTCTGCGGCCCCTGCTTCCTGGTTTTAATTCCTTCCCGCAACTGGAGGATCGGGGGCCGCCGGGTTCGAGCAGAAGCTCACAGGCGCGCCGCCTCCGTTGCAGGCACAGCCCCCCGGACCTCCCCCAGGTGCACTCCGCCCCTTGCGCCCAGGCCCCGCCCTACGTTGCCATAGCGCCGCGTAGCCCGCTGGGGGGCGTATCCCCAGTTGAAGGCTCAGTGCGTGGCCACAGGCACGCGGGACCGTCAGAGGGAGCGATGGTGGCGTTGAGGGTCGCAAGACGGACTTGGACTCGGCAGTCCGAGTCCAGGGCGCGGCCGCGGCGCACCTTCCACAACACGCTGCTCTTCTGCTGGGGG